GCATATGTGGAATGCTCAAAAATCGAGAAAAGTACACATGTTTTTCAAAATTCTATAATTTCGTCAAAAAAATTGAATCCATCTGAAATTTTGAGGGCTTACATAGAATGGTTCAAACAACTATTTTCCATTAACAGAAAGTACAAAAATTTTTTTTTGCAAGTTTGGCAAGTGTTCAAAGTTAACAAATTTTTTCACCATAAAAACAATCCGTGGTGAAAAGCTGGATTCAGTTCGCAAAAAACAAAGTATTGCAATTTGATCATATGTAACTAACAGTAGAGGTTTTACTTTAGAACATCTCAAATTTTCATGCAATTTGAATGATTTTTCGCAGTTCTATGAACATTTGAATTTTGATCTTTTCTTTGTAGATTTCAAAATTTTCGCAAACTTTTGACCGGTAGTGTATATAAGTTAAAAATGTAGAGGAAGCATTTAAAAAATTTCAGAACAATCAAAAAGGGGGAAAAATAATAAGAAGAATCCGAGAAAAAGTAAAGAAAAGATGTATATATGTATATATGCTCGGCTCAACATGGGTCTAATATATTTCGCCAATATTGGATTGTTATAGAAATAATCTATTGACCAAATATTTTATAGCCACTATTCAACCTGTGTTAACCCGTTATAAAATTGTCCAATTGACCCGATATTTTATTGCCCTTATAACCAATATCGAATCTATACAGATCTGTTAAGTTCTCCCGATATTTTATAGCTGTTTTTCAGCCTATGTCGGCTCGACATAGAAGTGGCCGAAGAAACTGATGTCTAATAGTAGTTATTTAGCCATTATAAGCAATACTTAAAATTGTCCGATGAACCCGATATTTTATGATCATTATTCAGCCTATGTCGGCTCGACATAGAAGTGTCCAAAGAAACTGATGTCTAATAGTAGTTATTTAGCCATTATAAGCAATACTTAAAATTGTCCGATGAACCCGATATTTTATGATCGTTATTCAGCCTATGTCGGCTCGACGTAGAAGTGTCCAAAGAAACTGTTGTCTAATAAAATTGTCCGATAAACCCGATATTTTATAATCGTTATTCAGCCTATGTCGGCTCGACATAGAAGTGGCCGAAGAAACTGATGTCTAATAGTAGTTATTTAGCCATTATAAGCAATAACTAAAATTGTCCGATGAACCCGATATTTTATGATCGTTATTCAGCCTATTTCCGCTCAACATAGAAGTGTCCAAAGAAACTGTTGTCTAATAGTAGTTATTTAGACATTATAAGCAATACTTAAAATTTTACGATAAACCCGATATTTTATAATCGTTATTCAGCCTATGTCGGTTCGATATGAAAGTGTCTGACTCAACCGATGTTTTATAGCCGTTATTTAGCCATTATAAACCTTACATAAAATTATGCGGTTGTTGAAGGACGGAAAACAAAACTGTGAACTGAAGCATAAGAAAAAAATTTTTAAAGGAAAAATTTGTAAAAAAAAAGTTTAGAGATTAAAATTAATTACATATTAAAATTAAAATTAATTTTATATCTGAGCATTTTTTTCCTAATAACACCAGAGAAATGTTTTTCAATAGAAGCCAAGCTAAGCTTATGGTGAGATGTTTTAAAATCTTATTTTTATAAACTTCATATCTTTTTTCTTTTGCCATTTATTGAGTGACAAATGTCTATTAATTCTTTAATTAATTTTCTTCAATTTGCTGGTATAGTTTTACTTTAATATTATTATTTTATATCTTCTGTCGACATGTTAAGTGCTATGAATTGATCTCATTTACCACTCAGAAAGTATGAAAAAGAATTTTTTGAAATAGCCAAGGAATATGAAGATGTATCTTTCCAGAAGTAGTATGTGGAGTAAAAAAAAAATTTAAAAATCGGATCATGCTTATAACTTTTGAACTCTTTGGCAGATTTTTATTTTATGAAGTGTTATGGCAACATCTCAAAGAAATATCTCAAATTATATGAAACAGTTAACTGTAACCCTGGCGAAATATGCTCATTATGCATATTCCATTTCTGAAGAAACATATAGACTTTTGTTGCATTTGGTTTAACGTTCAAACATATCCCTTGATATCAATTTTTTTAAAGTTCTGACTATTAGGGGGTAAAACAAAGTCAAATTACCATTTGGAGCAAAAAACGAAAAAAAATGGGATATCGCCAATATTTAGCATTAGTTAGAACATATTCACGTAACATATCAGCAGGGAATCATGCTGCCTTTAGAATATTTATTGAGCAAACTTAACACACACGTATTAATAAATCCGACACCCAACTTGGTATTTCCTTTTTCGTCTTAACAGAAAAATATAGAAATTAATAGTAATATATAGAAATATATAGAAATTATACTTACGACAGTTACTCTCTCAACTAGGGCTGAATTATTAAAAGAACTTAAAACTGATAGCTAATTATTTCAGGATTATCTTTTATCATTTAAAATGTAGAGAGTAAACCAGATTGCAACAAAAAAGCTACAGTCACGGAGACACGTTAGTGTAGCCACATGTATTTCGATGCGTGGCTCTAAGACAGGTTACTCTGTCTGCCTTTTGGAATGCCACATTTTAACGTCACAAAGACGTCAACATGCGACCCCAATCAGACATTTATTCATCACAGCGACGTCACCTTCTGAAGAGGATGTGACAAATCTATGTCTCAACTGAGACGCTGTGTGACGTACGATATGACATATTCACGTCTCAACTGGGTCACCATGTGATATGTTAGTGACTTATTCACGTCTCAACAAAGTCTCGATGTGATGAAATTGTGACATTTGCGTCTCAATAGAGTCCCTATATGGCTAAGCTGAGATGTGAATTCGTCACATTCTTGTTTCACGGTGACGTCACTGCAACAGTTATAGATATCATTGTGGTCATATATATACAAGGAAAACTCTTTTTGTTTTTAAACACAATTATCTTTAACCATTATTAATATTTTTTTTTGTTTCTCTTCAGCTGAATGTGATCCCAATGTCTGCAAAAATGGTGGTACCTGTAATGTAGTAAACAACCAGATCAGATGCGGTTGTGTTTCTTCTTACAGTGGTCCATACTGTGAAACTAAAAAGGGTAAATCATAGTTTTATACAAATATTTTCAATTGCAAACAACAGTTAAATGTAACTTAAATGATACTCAACCTTGTGAAATTGTTTTGTTCGTTATCTGAAAAATAGCTATAATTTTGTTAAATGACAGGACGATATTAAGGCTATAATCAATGACATATTTTATATAAACATTTTCTTTATTTACACTTATAGTAAACAACCAAAACAAATTAGTGAAGGAAACTCAATTCGAATAAATAATTTCTCTATTTTACTAATTATTTGGGTATTACATTATCATCACCACTTTAAATGATAACTTTAAAGAGATTTGTCAGAAAGTGGTTTTTATGCAGTATGGCTGACCCTGAATAAAATTAATGACCACCATAACCAGTTCAAAAATAAATATCTCGAACTCAAAAGCAAAATATCCAACGAAAATACCCTATTTAGTGTCCTCTCAGAAACCACCACGGAAAAAATTGATACTTTCGCCCAAGATAATAAAAATCAATTTCCTTCTATCCCATTTTTTGATCAAAATGACTCACGGGATNCCTAAAATAAATAAAAAATAAAAATTGATAATTTTATTTTTATTCTTTTGTTAGCTTGCATTGTGAAGGACACTTTCCCTGAAATTTTTTTCTTCGCAAGCTGTAAAACAAACATAAAATATACTGGGGACATGAAAATGACTGTTTTTGTGAGAATGACACATATATTACTTTGATAAGAATAAATAGTTAAAACTAATATGTAATAAGTGCAATGTTAAAAACTAAGAACTATTTAGTAAATATCGGTTCCTGTACAGATTTAAGTTCACCTGATTTATTTAATAGCCTATGTTGATTCAATATAGAAATGTCCAACTCTACCGATACTTTATGGCCGTTATTCAGCCTTTATAATCGCTGCATGGAGTTCCCTACATAGTTTGAGAAGCGAAAACGATACTGTTAAATGAAACATGAATAAAAAATTTAAGAAAAAGTAGAACAAAGGAAAAAAAATAATCGTATTATCTACTTTTTTCCCCAGTGAACATCAGAATAATGTCTTTCGATAAAATATTCATACATTTTTTGACAGAGAGAAATTGTTTCTCAGTCATTTGGTTTAATATATTCCAACCAATCATTCAAATTACTCAGAATAATGTAATGCATTCTCCCACTTTAAATAATCAGCTAAGCTTGTGATCTTTTGAAAGCTTATTTTTATAAAATTTGTATCAGGTTATTTTTTTTACCATTTATTAAATGCTAAATTTCAAATAATTCTTTAATTCATTTTCTGCAATTTGTAGGAATATTTTTAATTAAATATTGTTATTTTATAACATGGGAAGTGCTATTATTTGATCACGTTTACTACTTAGAAATTGTGAAAAAGAATTTTTTGAAGTAGTCCAGCAATACGAAGTTGTATCTTTCCAGAAGTAGTAAGTTGAGTAAGAAAAATTAAAAAGGATCAAGCTAATAACTTTTACACGTTTAGACAGATTTTCATTTTATAAAGTGTTGTGACAACATTTTAAAGAAATAAAAGAAATATCTCTAATTATATAAAAACAGTTAACTGTAACCATGGCGAAATATGCTTATTCCATTTCTGAAAAAAACGTATAGACTTTTTTTGCTTTTGGTTTAACGTTCAAAAATAACCCCTGATGTCAAATTTTATAAAATTTTCACTTTTAGAGGATCAAACAAAGACAAATTACCATTTGGCGCTAAAAACGAAAAAAATTTGACGCCGCCAATATTTAGCATTACTTAGAACATATTCACGTAACATCTTAGCAGAGAATCATGTTGCCCTTAGGTAAATCACTGAGTGAGTAAACTCAACATACACGAATAAGTAAATCTGACCCCAAACTTGGTATTTGCAATTTTCTTTTTTGTCTTGAAATAAATATACTTCTGAAGACTGAAATTAAACTTAAAAAAGCTGCTGTTTATTTTCATCTGGGGCTGAATTATTTAAAGAACTTAAAGTTGCTAGCTTCATTATTTCAATATTAGCTTTTATGATTTAAGATGAAGAATGTAAGATTATATATTGTGTGATGACCACGATATATAATTAATATATAGACTTTAATTTGGATCTGTAATGCTGTTTTTTTTTACTTTTTAAGTAGCAAATGGTAACTTGCATAATAAAGAATTAATATACATTTAGTACATCTATCACTTTCTATATAACCTGAGAGAAGATAGAATGGTGGGCTTTATAAAGCTTTGCTTAGTTGTGGCGTATATTCACCGTTTTTTTTCTCCCTACCTGGGAGAAGTAGGTATCTTTCGGACAAAATTTCTACCCTAATAAGAATAGATAAATCATTACCAATTAATAAAGTTAGTTTGGATGAGCTGTAAAATATCATTCAAAGCTTATGATAAAATAGCTTCTTATGAAATAGCTTCTTTTGATAAAATAGCTTTTTATAAAATTTTGATATTTAGAAGCTAGATAGTTTTGTTAAGTTTAAGAAAATTGAAATCAAATAATACTTTTTGCACTATATTATTAGTTTAGTGTTTTTTAATGAGAATTGTATGAATACATCAACTAAATCATGGTTGAAATTGAATCATTAATGGGTGGCTGAATATTCGGTAATTGACCTAAATACTGTCCCCCAAAAAAACACTTTTACCAGATTGCAATAAAAAAAGCTACAGTCACGTTTGTGAAGGAGAAACGTTTGTGAAGCCGCATGTATGTCGATGCGTGGCTCTAAAACAGGTTACTGTGACTGCCTTTAGGGATGTCATATTTTAACGTCACAAAGACGTCAAGATCCCAATCAGACATTTAATCATCGCCGCGACGTCACCTTTTGACTAGGATGTGACAAATCTATGTCTCAACTGAGACGCTGTGGGACGTAAAATATGACACATTCACGTCTCAACTGGGTCACCATGTAAAAAACATGTGACTTATTCACGTCTCAACAAAGTCCCAATGTAACGAAATTGTAACATTTGTGTCTCAATAGAGTCCCTATATGACTAAGCTGAGATGTGAAATCGTCACATTCTTATTTCACGGTGACGTCAATGCAACAGTTATATATCCCATTGTGTAACAGTTATATAGCTCTTAATCATAATTATCTTTAACCATTATTAATATTTTTTTGTTTCTCTTCAGCTGTATGTGACCACGATGTTTGCAAAAATGGTGGTACCTGTAAAGTAGTAAGCAACCAGATCAGCTGCGGTTGTGTTTCTCCTTACAGTGGTCCCTACTGTGAAACTAAAAAGGGTAAATAGTAGTTTTATACAAATATTTTCAAAGGCAAGCAACAGTTAAATGTAACTTAAATGATACTTAACCTTGAAAAATTTCTTTGTTCGTGTTACACCTGAAGGGTAACATGAATTTCGATCAGTGAGAACTGCCTTTAACTTGAATCTCAATCAGTGAGAACTACCTTGTGAGAGAAGCAGAGCAGTGGAAAAGAGCCCTAAGACAAGTAGAAAGACTTTTTCTAGAACTGTTTTTCAGGTGTGGCAACTGCGGCTGGGAGAGATTGATTGTTGAACAAAGAATGTGTGGGTGAGATTCTTTTGGAGTTTTCACGAGGATTAGGGGGCTTGCCCCCCTAATTCCTGCAGAGAGAGTTTTTTGTCCTTGCCTGAATGTGGTAGGCAAGAAAATAATTTCTACTCAGATGCAATGAGTTTTCCTTGTGTTTTATATCCATATACATCGAATTGAAAAATTGAAACCAATTTTATAGAATTGTAAAATTCTTTTCTTCAAGATGTGGTGTTTGCACCACTGTATTTAGTGTTGTTTGATTCCTCCAATAAATTATGTAAGTTGTCTTTAATTTTGATTCTGTCTTTCTTTCTAGAGCCATGTTATTTTTTCTAAAATATTCTCTTTCACTAGGATTCACTATTCTTTTTTAGCTTCCGCTATATATCTTTTTTTAGATCACGCGCCGGTCTTATGCCCACGTGCCGGCAGTAATTATCTTATAGCTTAATTCATTTTTCTTGATTGAATTATTTCTTTTCAGTTACCTGCTTGATTTAGGTAAGAAAGTAAGATATGTAATTTATAATATAGTGATTTATTTATCACTTAATTATTAACTCTCTCGAGTTAATTCCAGCTTGTTTCTTGTATCTTGGATACATCATGTGTAAACACACATGCTTCCCTTATATTTTATCTATGTTTATTTATCTCAACAAGCAATATCAGTTCGTCATCTGAAAAAAGGACGATATTAAGGCTCTAATCAATGACAAATTTTTATATAAACATTTAATTTTATTATTAAGTTTGCCAGCTTTTAAAAACCTAGACATGGCTTAACTGTGCTAGTTTATTGGAACTATATGCATTTGCAGGCGTGTTTACTCAATTTAGGTTTTTGAACCCTCTTCAAATAGAAGGACATGGTGAGCAGGGGTTGAAGCGTAAGATTTACAATCTATTTTTGGGCATGTACTATCAATAAATTTAACATGTTTCCATATACGTGAATACCATCTTGCTCCACTTTGTGGACAAATTATTTTTAGTGTTTGCCATGCTTGTTTGAAATTATGATTCTTGGTTTAGGGAATTAAATTTATTTTGCCCTTCACAACACAAAAATAATTCGAAAGCTCATTTTTCTTCTAATGCCCACCTGGAGAATGACCTTTCGTCATAAAGGCACTTGAAGGGCATATTTGTTGGCCACTCTTTCAGGGGCATCATATTAGCTGGGCCAACGTTGATTCCACTGTAAGGGCGGATAGTACAGAGAAGAAAAGAACAGCTGTGCCTTTCCCGGGATTCATACCCAGTACCTTTCTGATGCAAGACCAGTCCCCTGACCCCTACAAAGGCCGGTCGGCTTGAAATATTATATTGAAAGCCACAGTTTTCCCAAGTTTTCTCGGGGAAAGTCTTGTAACTTTTCTTTTTCCTTGCCTAAAGGCGAGTATTTTTTAAGAATGTAGTAATCTGTTAATGCCTTCCAACTTTTACTCGTTCCAATTCATTTTGGAAAAATAATTTATGAAATACAATTGTAGTTAAAGATAATTTCACTAAATTTTAGAGTCTTGGCCAGGTCTTCATTTTAATAACTTAAACACGCATGGATGACTAGTTTTTTTTATCTGTAGAAGAAATCGAAATCATTTTACCAAAATATAAAAATTGAAAAATTCAAGTGATATATATAAATTTTATTAACACTATGAATATGAAAACGAATATAAAATATAATAGAGACTACGTAGTTATTAATAGCTCTGGTCGTTAGTACCTAAAATACATGGGAATGCATGTCTGCTAACGACCTTTTAAGCTTTTAAAAAAATTTTCAATTATGTTTTTTTTTCACATTTTACTATATATGTGTGTATCTCTTAAAAGTATAACGCAATAGACACGAATATATCTCTGTACAATACTTTTTTTAAGAATTAAATTCTTGAGCTGCCAATTTATATTAAATAAATGACTTGGTGCTAAGAAAATTATTGCGTATCGCCCACTGCATTAAAATCAATTATACGTCGATTGCTACTACTTAACATGTGCTAACATTTCCTGGTTTTCCAGAAGATTTGCAACCAATTTTTTAATTTTGTTTTATTTAAACCCGATTCTTGTTTTATTAAATTTGACTCAAAATGATTTTGACTAACGTTAAGTTTAAATAATCCATAGATACATATAAAGATCTATGATCATCATTTCATCCTCCTATGAGTAAGCCAAATATAAATAAGAATTCCTCGTGCAATATCAATCCTATTAGACATATTAAATGTATTTTTTCTTGCAATATCTCAGACGCCCAGTTCCATTACAACGCATGAACGCACACTGTAATATTTTGCGCGCTTTATATCAAATAATGCAGCTCACCATAAAATAATTATTTTAACAGTTTTTAGCTTTTTTAATAATTCGACCCTAGTCAGATTATTCTATTAGTCAAGCGGTTCCCAATTTTTTTCGGCTATGGAACCCAAAGTAATCGACATTCTTTTGGCGGAATTTAAAGAATAAATTTCATTTACAATTATGAATATATGAATCTAACATCGAGTATAAATTATTTTGATAATATTTAATGAATGATTGGAATTTTTTCGTCGCATCGTCTGATCAGTATTAGTCTTCAAACTTGGTTTAATGTCTGAAAGTTGAATTTAAGTCTGGAAAGCTACATTTAGTCTAGTACATAATTTGATTTTAGTGCACGGGTAAATGGAAAATAAAAAAATTAAATATGATTTTCATTGAAATAAGAACAAACATTAACGAATATTAATTTTGCCAATGGTTATCAGCAAAACATATTTCTTCATTGATGTTTCTATTTAAGGAGAGGTACTCCTGCAATTTCTCAAAAATTAATTGATTATTCATTTGTATACTTGAAAATACATTTTTTTTTAGCTTTTTTTTCAAATTCTTTCTNTATATATATATATATCTTTTACTAGGAAAACCATGTGTCAAATTTAATTAGTTCGTGCAGTATGTTTTGTTACTTTTGTTACTTTACTATTCCTTTGTTTCGTTTTAGACAATGTTTTATGTCCCAGTTTTATTCACAAACTGCTTAAGATAATATAATAATAAGCTGTTAACATTAATTTTGTATTTTGGTGTTAAAGTAAGACCATGTTCATCGAATCCTTGCCAAAATGGAGGAACATGTATAGAATACTACATCTCGTTTGACTGCATCTGCCCATCTCAATATACAGGAAAAAATTGTAGTAAAAAATTGAAAGGTAAGAGATTTCAGATTTACATTCTTTAAATTGTTCATTTTCAAAATGATTAAGTAAGAATTTTTCTGTTTTTTTTTTTTTAAATACACTGTTAAATCAATGATTCACAATATTTAAACATTGAAATTCTGATCTTTCTCGAAAGCAGAAACAACCACTCCAGGATGTTTTTACTTCAAAAAGAAGTCATAATTCTTTATGAAAGTTTTACGAGCAATGTAATTACAGATTTTTGCTTGTTTTTGAAAATCAAGCAAAAATCTGTAATTTTTTATCGACTTGATCATTTTTAATTTTTTTATATTGGAGTAGTTTGGGAAAAATGGATATCGGGCAAGTGTGAACTCCTAAATAATTTTGCCTTTCTCATAGAAAATTTAATAGTTCAAGGTTATTTCTTTATCTGTGAAATATAAATATGTTTTAAGGAGTTAATCAAAAGAAAACAACGCCACAAAACTTTAATTTGCCATATTATCAGTACATCTATGAAGTTATACTTGTTTCTATGCAGTTTTTTTGTTTTTCAGAGCTACGCTCTTAAAAAAATTCAGTTTTTGGTGTATTCGGGGTCTGAAAATCATGGTTAAACAACAGAACCCTAATTTTTTTTACTGAATAATAAAGTTCACTATTAAGACAAGATATTTGATCCTACAGTTTACTAGGTTATTGATGCTTTTAGCAGATATAATAATGTAAACATTAAAAATTTCCTAAATCTGCATTTTTTTATATTTTCTAAAAACTGCATCGTCGCTCTGAAAATCTAGTTGTACTATCTTGTAAGCTAAAATAAACAGATTAAATAAGAAAATTATCTTTATATTTAATTTTATTTAAATTTATCTTTATATTTATCTGTTTTGAAAAGTTTAAGCTTTTCTTGCAAGAAAGATTGTTAGATTTCCAAACCAACAAAAGGAAGTTGTACTCAATACGTTTCACCTCTGAGAAACAACAGAACAGCAGAACGATAGAGATAGAGTCTTAGATATAATTTTGAACTGATATACAGGAGGAGATGAAAAGATTTTGTCCTAAGGATTAACAAAAAAAAATAAGTATAACATTTTAATTTTAAGAAAGAAAAAAAAAGAGCTTTTAACTTGGTAAAATACAAAATTTCAGCAGTAAAATACTAATTTTGATAATAATTGTAGAAGAAACGGTAGTTAATGTTGCCGATATTATGATATCCTCATTCATTAATGTGTTTTCAGAATCATTGAATCAGATTTCCATTTTATTTCCTAACCTGTGTTATTCTGAAGAAGTAGCTGATATCTGAAACAGCGATATGAAAGTGAAGAGATGCAAAAACATTTTAATAGTGCTGGAAGATGATTATTGGAAAAAGAATAAAGAAATCTTGTTTCAAAAAAAAATTACCCTGCTCCATAAAAATGCTGGAGTTTTTAGACTACCTTAATTTGATTTTAAAACCAGTCACTAAAATACAAGATTATATGAGCAAATAAAAATTGGCAGAGTGCTCACTGTTTTATTGTTCATTTTTAATAGTACTTTATATAAATACTTCATTATTAAAACCACGATTTCCTTATTTATCTTTCTAATCTTGCTACCTCTCTGTGTTATTTATTTCTACATTTATTTACATATTTTAATTACAGATGAACTCGTATAAAATCACTTTATTTTAACTCATTTTTAACGGGAAGATCATTATTGGCTCAAAAAGATGGAGGAGTGTGACTTCTAACATAGCATTTATATGCATCTTTAGTAAAGCTAGTCATCTGGTCATTTTGAGCAAAGATACTGTTTTGAGAAAATCTAAAGGAAAAAATTGCAGATTCTGCATTCTTTGTAAGTCTTAAGGACTGTAACTTCTTTATAACCCTAACTTTAGCAGACCATTATTCAGAAAAGCAGTAGATAAACTAATAATCTAGCAAAACTGAACATTGGGGTGTTGTTTCTTTCTTTGAATAAACCCTATTACTTATAATTCAGTTTTACTGAAATGCCCTTCAACTTTTAAATTGTCTACAGAAAAGGAATGACTTTCTTAGGAGCTTAAACTTACATAATGTTCATTTTTCCCAATCAACTTCAATATTAAAAAATTCAGGCCAATGAAACCTATTCCGTTGTTTCGTTTTTGACAATGTTTGGTGTCCCAGTTTTATTCACAAAATATTTAAGAGGTTATATTAAGCTCTTAATATTAATTTTGTATTTTGGTATTAAAGCAGGACCATGTTCATCGAATCCTTGCCAAAATGGAGGAATATGTACAGAAAACCACAATTCGTTTAACTGCAGTTGCCCATCTCAATACACAGGAAATAATTGCGAGTTGAAAGGTAAGAGATTTCAGATTTACATTCTTTAAATTGTTTATTTTCAAAATTATTAAGGAAGAATTTTTTTTTAAATACGCTGTTAAATCAATGATTCACAATATTTGGACATTGGAATTCTGATCGTAGTCGAAATCAAAAATAACCACTCCTGGATGATTTTACTTCGAGAAGAGGTCATAATTCTTTCTGAAAATCTTACAAGCTTAGTTTTGAAAATCAAACAAGTATCTGAAATTTTAATAGTTGTAATTTCTGTGAAATAGTTGTAATTTTTATATAGGAAAAGTGGATATCGTGCATGTGTGGACTCCTAAACAATTCAGTCATTCTCAAATTTAATAGTTCGAGTTCATTTCTTTAAATGTGAAATATAAGTATGTTTAAGGAGTCAATCTAAAGAGAGCAACACAACAGAATTTTAATTTGACATATTATCAGTATATTGATGAAATTATACAAGTTCCCTTGCAGTATTGTTGCTTTTCAGAGATACGCTCTTAAGAAAAATTCAGTTTTGGTGTTTTCAGGCCCTGAAAATCATGGTTAATCAACAGCACCCTAATTTCTTTTACTGAATAATAAAGTTCACTATAAGGACAAGCTCTGTGATCCTTCAATTTACTAGGTTATTGGTGCTTTTAGAAGATATAATCATTTAAACATTCAAAATTTCCAAAATCTGCTCATTTTCTTATATTTTCCAAAAACAGCATCGTTGTTCTGAAAATCCACTTATACTATCCTGTAAGCTAGCATAAACACATTAATAAGAAATCTATCTTTAATTTCAATATATAAAACTTAAACTCAGTGACTGGCACAGTATAGCTATTCCAGGCTTCTGGATCATATATATATATATTTANACTATATATATATATATATATACAAACAGCAAGACAGCAGCAGGAATAAGTCGTGGAGGATGAAATTCGAACGGATATATAGGAGGAGGTGAAAGGATTTGATTTTCTCCTAAGGATTAACAAATAAAATTAAGTATAATATTCTAGTTTATGAGAAAGGAAAAAGAGAGCTTTAATACAGCAAGAGAGCTTTAAAAGATTGCTAAATTACAACATTTCATAAGGAAAATACTAATTTTGATAATAATTGTAGAATACACAGAAGTAAATATCACCGATATTATTATAGCCTCTATTGAATCAGTATTGCCATTTTATTTGCTAACCTGTGTTATTCTGAGGAAATAGGTGGTATCTGAAACAGCGATATGAAAGTGAAGAGAGGCGAAAACAATTTATTAGTTTTGGAAAATAGTTATTGGAAAAAGAATACAGAAGTCTTGTTTGAAAAAAAATTACCCTGCTCCATAAAATTGGTGGATTTTTCAGACTTCCTAAATTTGATTTTAAAGCCTGTAACTAAATTACAGGAATATATGAGCAAATTATAATTGACAGAGTGCTCACTATCTTATTATTCATTTTTTAGCAGTACTTTCTATAAATACTACATTATGAAAACCCTGATTTCCCTATTTTTCTTTCTAATCTTGCTATCTCTCTGTGTTATTTCTTTTCTACATTTAAATCTTTTAATTACAGATGAACTCGTATAAAATCACTATATTTTAACTCATTTTTAACGGGAGGATCATTATTGGCACAAAAAGGTGGAGGAGTGTGACTTCTCACATCTTTGAATTTTTAGTAAGATGGCAAAGCTAGTCATCTGTTCATTTTGAGCAAAGATACTGTTTTGAAAAAAGCTAAATGAAAAAAATGCGGATTCCGCTTTCTTTGTAAGTTTTAATGACTGTAACTTCTGATTAACCCTAACTTTAGCAGACCATTATTCCGAAAAGCAACAGTGCTCCATGGAAACGATTGCATGTCTATAACCTGGCAGCGATAAACTAATAATCTAGGAAAACTGATTTTGGGGAGTTGCTGTTTTCTTTGAAAGTGGTTTTGCTTGAAGTGTCCCTTTAAACATACTTATAATTTAGTTTTACCGAAATGACCTTGAACTTTTAAATTTTTTACAGAAAAGAAAAACTTTTTTAGGAGCTCAAACTTACACAATGTTAATTTTTCCTAATCAACTTCAATATAAAAAAAAATCAAGCTAAAGAAAAAACTATCACACTATGTATGAAGTTCATAGTAATGATTTTTAAAAGGTTCTACGCATATCAAATTATTCATATGCAGCGCGTTTTAAAAAAAAGTATTCTAGTGTTAGGCATGTTTATGTTTTACGTATTATTTCTTTTTATTCATTTCAACTTTTTTAGTACCACTACATATGCATGATTTAAAAGTTTATATGCAATGCTACTTGATTAAGTTCTTCTGTGCTGAGGCTTTTAGAATGTTGGGAAAGTTAACAAAAGTTCGGAATGTTTAGTTTTAAATGTCCGCCATTTTATGAAATAATTTGTAAAAAGTAAGGTAGATGGCAGGCCTGCATTTAAGCACCAGTATTTCGTTTATACAACATGTTCTTTTACCAAATAAATCAAAATTGGTAATTTAATTATCTCGTTGTTTACATTTATCTTGGATAAGCAACATGTTTGAATAAAACGAAAAAAGTAAATAATATAAAAATCTGTGTTATATTGCGGAAAAAATGTATTTCTCATAATTCTAAACCCATTTGGTAGCTAAAGGATGCTGCTTAGTATTATCCCAAATTGCTGCGCCTTCATTCTTGATACCATTTTTCTCATTATTGCGAAAAGTGAGTTAGGCTGGTAAACTGCTAAACAACCCATCATCCTGCTGATGATCTCACTCTTAGTTATATGAAATTTTATATTTTATAATCGTCGTTAAACATCCCAAGTTTTGAGCTTTCAACCTACTACCTAAATTTTTGCTCAAACCTGAAAATGGATGAATAAAAGGTCAGAACTGTGTGTTTTATGGTTAAAATATTCCCAACCAAAAGTTGTAATAAGGTTTCGCACTGCTGTTGAAAAAAAATGGTCTCATCCGACAACAGAACGCCAGATGTGAATAAAACAGGCCACTTTGTAATAGTGGGGTCAATCAATTTATACAGTTTGTGACCATAATAGGCTACTTTGATAGTTCCAATCACGAAAAATCCAGCTACAAAATTTCTCGGTAACATGGTTAATGTCACATAGGCCGTTCAAAGTTTCTTCCGTATGCAGAGCTCTGTTTTTCTTTGGAGGGACTTTAGAACCTTTTAATGTGATGTGACTAGATATCTCAACGCATTCGGGAACTGTGAGACGAAATGAAACCACGTCTTATCTTTAATATCCCATTATATTTTGCCCTTCATGCACATTATTGTCCAAAGTCGCAAGGGGGAAACGTATTTTCGAAAATAGAGCAAAAAGAAAAAGAACCCTGAAAAAATGCTTTTATGCATCTTAATTGTAGTGTATTGAATGCATAAATGTAAAATCAAATAACGTAGGAAAGTATATAAAATTTTAACAATGTCGAAACCGAAACAATCCCTAAGTTTAGTACAATGAAATATATACCAATCATTTATACCATTCAAACATATGTAAACAAATTGTCAAGGTTTTAAAAACAAAAGGTTTCAAAACTAGCTTACAATTTGAATCTCATTTATTTTACTTATGATAAAAAAAAAACTTTTGCGATAAAAAAAAATTGATAAATTTATCAAGTTAGAAAAAACAATGCGTATCTTGCAGTCAATTTATAAAATATGACAGTCATAATGCTTAATAAGTGTACAGTTTGCCTCAAATTGAGCAGAAAAGTAGAAAATAGTTAATATTTTACACATTACCAAGGTATTATATAGAATGATTCATGTTGTCTAAAGCGATAAAGTTTGAAACGATGAATATATGTATATTCCACATTTCCTTGGTATCTCTTAGAATAACTAATGAAAAACCAGCCAATATTCTAGACAATGACTAAACAATGCTGTACATTGTGGTTCACTTAAATAAAGCCATCTTGATTTCGTGCTATAATTAGATCCAAAAAAGAAAGAAAAACAAACGTGAACCAATACCAAGGGAACAATAGTATCAATATTGTGCCAGTTATTAATAATGTTAGCCTTCCCCTCTGTAACAGTCCAGTACGAATTTCACGTTTTTTTGGAGATTACAGTAATGGAAAGGACGGTTATCATAACAAGGACCCTGTTATCTAAAAAACCCCTTTGTGAAATGAAATTTTCAACGCAAATTAAGGTAGTAAACTGCTGTAAATATGGCTCGGGCCACCGGTTCTCTTTACACCTACAGCCAGCCCCCTGGCCAAATTATTTGACGCACTATAAGATTCTATGCAAAATCTTAATTATCAGATGATACTCTACAGCTTTATTGTCTTTGCGTGATTGAAACCGGCTGGCACTAGTTTACGTTCGTGTATCAAGTGGTTAAATTAGACAATATGTAACATAAATTCGACGATAGGATAAATTAGACGACATGTTATATAAATATAGAATATTTATAATATCAAGTATTATATTAGTATATTATAATAATTAAACCAAACTATTAGACGCACTGTAGTTTTTTAACAATGACACGTTTTGCACGAGTTTATATGCAATACTTTTATATTTTAACATATATGTAGTGGGTTTTTATACAAGAGATTTTTTATAGACTTCCTATTTACATTTATTTTTAATGTATTACATTACAATGTTAACCAATTGATACACGAACGTAAACAAGTGCGAATCGGTTTCTGCCGCGTAAAAACATTGAAACTGTTTAGTATCAGCTGATAATTAAGATTTTGGATAGAATCTTATAGTGCGTCTAATAATTCGACCAGGGACTGCAGAGCTGAAGCCTTCGGACAAAATTAATGAGCTTTCACCTCGCTGCATAAGAGAGTAGGAATCCTCTTTTTTCTTTCTTCATGTCAGTTGCACCAAAATAAATAAATAAATTATCTGGTTCATCCAAATTATTTTCTTCCTCGTTCCTGTCCTTAAAAATAGCTTTCAACTTAGAGTACTGATTTATTCTTTAATGTCGTTTGCAT